AATATAAAAATAAATGAAGGTTTTTATCTTTTAATAAAGAACTGTCTATATACTGTATATTCTTTTTATTTACAATTATCTTCTTTGCTTATACTAGATGATGATGCTAATTTGTTACCGAACCAATTAGTTGTTGAGTCCTAAAATAAAATATGCATTAGCACAATATAAAAATAATCAGTTATTATTTAAATAAGTAAAAACCTTTTCATTTTTTCGTGGTTTTTTATTTGGTGTTTCTGCTGATTGTCGATTCAATTTTTTTTCAAGATTTTTTTTGTAATCTTCGTATGGATCCACAAATACATTTATGCTAACAATCTTAATCTCATTTAACGGACGATCAGAATCATCAGTAGGGACAGATTCCATTTTATCTAGAACATCTTTTCCTCCAACTAGTTTCCCAAAAATTGTATGTTTGTTGTCCAAGTGTACACATGGTCTAAAAGTAAAGAAACTGAAAAATAATAATAATGCGTGAATCGGTTGACATTATTATATTAAATGCATGAACAATTTCAAATGATGAAATGAAATATTTACAACTGAGATGAATTAGTATTCTTTCCTCTATTTGCCATACTTAGAAGACCTCGTTCATTATGGGACAAATTGCTTTTAAATTCGTCTACAAAATCTTTTTTCCAATATGACTCTCCCCCTTTACCAGTACCAGTAGGATCCCCGCCTTGAATCTAAAAATAAAAAAGGTTTCATATATTATTATAATTTCAATATTGTTTAAAATCTCATATACTTATATATATCTACCATAAAATTTTTGATCTTGCGATGAAATATTGTCCTATAATTTATTTTGGTGAAAAATTCAATAAGCTTGCAAGATATTGTAAAAGTCGATGTATTACAAGATTTGTGAATTGCTTATACAAACCCGTTATAATATTCTTGTTTGGAAAGCATGATGAAATTAAAGCAAGCCCTTGGCGACTGATTAAAGCAATATTGTTAAAATCTAACAAAAAAAAAGAAAAAAACACTAAACATTATTATTGTTGAGAACAATACCTTATCGCAAAAAAGTTCTACGTTCAAATTACCAAGGTTAGTCGTTATACGGACATAACCTTTAGCTTTAATTTCCTTAAACATAAATTCATCTTCGTCGATAAGTGCATTTTCATTTACGGTCACCGGCGTCATTGCCGTCGACGTAAATGAGGCAGCTGCGAGACCACGTGTGTATGCTGCAGCATTATATGGCAATTTCTTAGGTTTAGATCCCGCAACAGGTGGTGTAACTTTTGTTGTTTTGGAAGAGGCAGGTTTCGACTCGATACTAGTATTTTGTTTTTGATCCGATGCTTCACCTTCCTACAAAAATACGCTTATAGCTTAAGATTGAATAGTAAAATAACCAGATTAAATGAAATAGTGCTTACACGATTTGAAATTTTATTCAACACGCGTGCTGCAGAACCCACAGCACTGATATTAATGTCGTTCAAAGGATTGTCTTTTCCATCTTGATCTTAAAACATAACAAAATGTAAAAATTGTAAATAAAAAGAATATACAGTATATAGACAGTTCTTTATTAAAAGATAAAAACCTTCATTTATTTTTATATT